TATTTAACATTAGAATTGGTTTTGTTTGTTTGGTTTTGGTTTTAGTTCTTAGCTTTAAAATGTGCAAGAAGGTATACTTGATCAAAGACAAAATTAAATGTTCTGATTAGCCTAATCATCAAACCTCATTTTTCATCTTCAAAATGTGTATTATCCTATCTCTATTTATATCTGTTCCCCTCAAAACCTTTCAGTAAAATGCTTAAAAAGTCTTAGAAAGTAAATAGTAATACAAATGGGACAGGTTTCCATGTAATTACTGGAAACAATTTTGAAAAGGGAAGATAAAGTACTTTAAATCATGAAGCTACTGACAATAAAAATAGGAAACTAGTATCAATATCGAGGGCAAGATTAAGGGAGCACTTGTAATTCTGCAAGTAGATATTGGGAGAATTTTGTTGAAGTACAGCAATTTATCCTAAGGTTTTCCACCTTGGATTCCAAGTGTGACACAAAACTAAACAGGTAAAAAAGTCTGGATAACTCCATGAATGGTGGAATTCTGGAAATAGAAAAGCATTTAGTGAGTGTCCCCTGATTGTAAGCTACATAGCCTGAATGGTGAACCAATGTTATCGTTGAAGGTGTTTTGGCTAGGCTAATGGTGACATGCATTATATGTTGTCTTAATTTTCATGTTTCAATCTCTCTCAGTTTTGGAACTTTTGTTATGTTAAAGGTTTGGTGCATCTGTGTAATGCACCGTGCTCCGCTTCAAATGGGGATAAATGAATTAGCTTGTAAACAGAAACACAGATCCACAGGAAGCACCTTCTTGTATTAGCCTTCTATGAGACAGCATATATACTTTTCATTTATTGTATCTTAAAAAGTCAACAACAATTAACTTATCTCGGTAGATAAAATATTATCAGTAGGCTACGTGTTCTTGTATTTTCTGAGAATGTCATCATCTCTTGTTTTGGAATAGAGGCAAAATTCCATACATTGAGGCAGTTCTCAGTTCTAGAGACCTTTGTAGATATTGGAAAGAGCGCCATTCCCACTCTGTATGTGAACAAGCAAGTGGCAGCGTGAACACTTTCATTCCTGGGTTTCTTAATTTAAAGGGGCACAGCAGACAGTAACAAACTAGACAATCAGGGCTGGTTCTCGCCATACTTCTTAATGCGAGCCCACCAAACAACTTTTAGGTCTGTTCATTTCCTGGTATAAAAAAAGTTCTTTTTTACTATCAGGCAATTAAGAATATAGGAACTTAGACATTTAAAGTGGATTCTCATCCCATTTGAAGCTAAAGTCCTTACAGTTCTCTTTTGTTCTATCTTTAATCCTAGTATGTGGAAGAATAAGATTAACATTTGTCCCTGATTACTGCCAAAGGTCAACAACAACATAAAATGTGGGCAATGGATAGTCAGGGGGTACGGTGGCTTGTGGGGACAAGGCAAGTTGATGGGTTCTAAAGGGCGAGAGGTTCACCTGTCACAGGACCTGTCACTCAACAGTTTTGTGGACAAGCGCTCCATGAAGGAACCCTGCAAACATGAGAGATTCATCGTCTAATTCCGAGTGGTCATGGATGCTGCACCTCACGCTGTGTGTCAGCACTCCCCTCTGTCAGAAAACACAATATCGGATTAATGGATTTGGGGAAGAAAAGGAAAACGGTGTCAACCCTTAGTTTCTTAAACGGATTCATGCTGTTTCGAAGGCGCTGCAAGCGTGGCGCGGCAACCGCTTTCTTCAGTGCTCTTCATGGCAGCGGTGCCAGTTTAACCCCGTGGGACCCTGCCGATTGCATTGCTTCTCTTGGCACCTTCCTCAGAGAAAACAGGGATGTTACATAAGCGCCCGAGGCGGGTGCTTGCCTGCGTACTGAGCCTGGCGTGGCCGCGGCTGTCAGGGAGGATCTGCTGGCTGGCTGTCCTGCGATGCCTCAGCCCCGCAACCTGTCACGAGCTTGTCAGCAGTGCCGCAGTGTTTCCCTAGGCTCTTCAGGCCAGGGTCAGAGAGCTTTCTTTTCCCTCAAGTAAGGCGTTGCTACAGGACCGTTTGCTATTTCAAGGGCATGAACCAGACCGTGTTCTTAATTTGTCTCCTAAAATCACAGGGGTTTGTCTATTGGACAACGCTGCACAAATACTTCAAATACACACTCCTTTGCTTCATAGGCTCCAGTTTTTGGACGTGCACTTTTACTGGGCACCTCTGACTAGGGCTGAGCACAGTATATTTGAAAGTGGGCTTCTTTTCACACACAAGACAAAATCCTGACTAGGCTAATTTCATGATCACACTCCCCACCCCCGTTCCTCCCAGCTTCCGCCCACCTTCCCTCCCATCCTTCTCCATGACCTTTCTCTCTTTTTAAAAAAAGACAGAAAGTTTGTTGGTCTCCTTGTGGAGCTCCTTTCCTTTCTGGATCCTTCCTATCCCCCTTCTTCCCTAAGACTCCCTGCACTCTGTCCAAAGTTCGGCTGTGAGTCTCTGCACCTGCTTTGATCCCCTGCTGGGTGGAGTCTTTCACAGGACACCTGTGGTAGGCTCCCATCTTCTCTTCCACCACTTCTGCTGTCTGTCCTGTTTGCCATTCTGAATTAGAATTGAGCATCTTCCCTAGGGTCCTCCTTGTCATTTAGCTTCTTTAGGACCATAGATTTTAGTATGGTTATCCTAAACTATATGACTAATATCCACTTAAGAGTGAGTATATTCCATGTGTGTCTTTCTGCTTCTGGTTTACCTCACTCAGGATGATCTTTTCTAGTTCCCACCATTTGCCTGCAAATTTCATGATTTTCTTGTTTTTAATAGCTGAGTAGTATTCCATTGTGTAAATGTACCACAATTTCTGTAACCATTCTTTGGTTGAAGGACATCTGGGTTGTTTCCAGCTTCTGGCTATTACAAATAAAGCTGCTATGAACATAGTTGAGCAAATGTCTTTGTTGTATGCTTGAGCATCTTTCAGGAATATGTCCAGGACTGGTATAGCTGTGTCTTGAGGTAGTGCTATTCCCAGTTTTCTGAGAAAGTGCCAGATTGATTTCCAAGGTACTTGTACAAGCCCCACAAAGGGACCAACAAAGCCAAAAATGCTGGGCCTAGGGGAGATTGCAGAGACTGATGCATCAATGAAAGACCATGCGTAGAGAGAACCTAGGCCCCCTGCTCAGATGTAGCCCATGGACAGCTAAGTTTCCAAGTGGGTTCCCTTGTAAGGGGAGAAGAGACAGTCTGACATGACAGTCTGGCATGAACTCAGTCGCTTGCTCCTTGATCACTTCTCCCTGGTCGGGTGGCCAAGCAAGCCTACAGAGGAAGAAGATCCAGCAGTCCTAATGGGACCTGTTAGGATAGGGTCAGACAGTAGGAGAACTTCCCCTATCTGGTGACTAAATAAGAGGGATGGGGAGGAATAAAGAGGGAGGGTGGGTCCAGGAGGAGATGAGGGAGGAGGCTACAATTAGGATACAAAGTGAATAAATTGTAAATAATAATAACAGAAAAGAAAAACAGACAAAAACAAACAAATCCAAGAAACCTACAAATTCTCCACAAAACACAAAAAAACAAAATATACAAGAAAAGATCAATAAGACAAAAAAAAAGATACCCAAGCAAAGCAAAATGAGACACATGTCTGTGAAAATATCATTCAGTTCATTTTGTGTTGTTCAGCCACTCCTGGGCACGGCGCCTGCCTTGAAGTGTGGTTTGTATACCTAGTGAGACCCCAGCGGGAAAAACTAATTATCTTGGTTAGGGGTAGGAGCTCCATTTACCTCCTCCTCTCCATTGCTGGCAATCCATATGGCTTCCTGTGTATGCCCTGTGCTTGCTGCCATGGTCTCTGGGAGTTCATGTGTGCCTCAGTCCTGCTGTGTCTGGAAAACACTTTCTTTGGAGTCATCCATCCCCTCTGGCTCTTAAAATCTTACTGCTTCCTCTCTGCATAGATTCCTGGGTCCTGAGGGGAGTGGTTTGATGATATCGCACTCAGAAAAGACTGCTCCAAAGTCTCTCACTCTCTGCACGTTGTTCAAGAGTGGGTCTCTGTGTTAATTGCCATCTACTGTAAGAAGCTGCTTTGACGATGGCTAAACAAGGCTATGATCCTCTACATCATATATAATAAAATACAATATTTAGCTAATCCTGTAAAGTACTTACTTTGTAAAATAAATTCCACAAAGATTAAAAATTAATTATGAATGCATGCAAATTTATTCATTTTATGTGTATGAGTGCTCTATCTGCCTGTACACCTGCATGCCAGAAGAGGGCATCAGATCTCAGCATAGATGGTTCTGAGCCACCATGTGGTTGCTGGGAATTGAACTCGGGACCTCTAGAAGAGCAGCCAGTGCTCTTAACTGCTGAGCCACCTCTCCAACCCCGTAGTAGGATTTTTATAATTAAAACTTGAGTCATCTCTGTGCATTAAAACACTTAGTTTAAGACAATTGTTTTTAAAGACCGTAGATTCTACTTGTCATGATTTATAATTGCTTATGTTGTAATTTTAAAAATATTCATTTTCAGTAAAGTCAAGAACTGTTCTATCGGTAATAATTTTTAAGATAAAATGTATCCTTCCTTTCTTTGTATTACACCACACTTTTTGGGTTTAAATTCTACTTTTGCCACTTAGCAGCTGTCAGGCTTTGGTTTATTATTTACTTCTCTGAGCGTCAGTACCCTTATCAGTGAAGTGGATATGGCAAGAATGTCTGCCCACCAGTGTGTGGGGGTGACTGGAAAAGTTCATACTGGGGAGCAGTTGTTTTATGGTATAAATTCAGCAAATATTAGGTACCTTGTCATTATGATAGATTAAAAGTGTCATTCTAGAGGATATATCTGAATATGTAACTATTTCTTTGTATGCAGATATCCTTTTCTATGGATCAGGAAGTCATCAGTTTGCATTTCTATGTTTAGTGATTACTCTGGTATTTGTGACTGTGTGTTAGGGAAGCATGTCTCAAGATCAGTGAGTAATTGATTTATGTTTCTGTGGTTCCTTGCAGACATCATGGAAATCAGGACCGTGGCAGTTGGAATTGTGGCAATTAAAGGGGTGGAAAGTGAATACTATCTTGCAATGAACAAAGAAGGAAAACTCTATGCAAAGGTACTAATAATTAACTGAGTTATTATGCAAATCTATTTTGTCCAAAATATCTGCCTCTCTGAAAAGTGGAATTACTTTTGTTCTACTGCTACAAGTTGAATATTCAATTAAGACATTCTTTACAGCACTAAGGCAAACTATTTTTTTGTTTGACCTTAGATTGCTTAAGCTACCTGGATGTTGGTTATCTGTAAGATAACTTGGAATGACTGATCTCTAGGGATCCTTCCAATTCTAAACTTCCTTGTGCACTTTATATACTTGCAACCTAAAATTTCCATGTGTGAGTATTAAAGCTCTTTTTGTTAGCATTCACCCGATTTGCACATTGCTGACATGGAAATTCTTAGGAAAAAAAATTGAAGCATTTAGTTCATTTAGCAACATCAGCCTCACAATCATGAGCTTTGAACTGTTAGCATTCACATGGCTTCCACTTTATTACCATGTGGTTTATATGACAGTTCATCCCACTAGAGTAAAACAAAAGTAATTTTTCTTTGTATTCTTGTAGCTCTGCACAATGCCTATGCCAGCAAACTATAGAATAGAGGTTAATCAAATAAACGCTTGGCTGTAGGTATGAGCAAAGGAAGTAACTTTTTGTTTTGATACAATTGAGGGCAACATAGTAGAAAATGGAGTTTATTATATAGTCTTTCACCTACCTGAGGGAGGTGGAGGCTATCCCCTCTACACTAAATTTCTGGTGGATGGAAAATGGGGATCCCAGCATTAAAGAGTAGAAATTTACTGTCCAAATTGACATAACTAAATGTGTATTATATTATCCCAGCATTAAAAAGTAGAACTGTGCTGTCCAAACTGACATAACTAAATGTGTATTATATTATTTTTTTTTGTTAAACGTAAGATGCTTTCGACCAACGACAAAAATAGAAATAGAAATGACATAGATAAACCTCCTACACCGTATCAGCTATGCTATGCTCCGTGTGAGGCTTAAAATAAGTCACGCCTCCTTCGCCTCTGCAGACCGTCGCCTGCTTGCTGTTAGGTTGAGCCCCTTTAGCACTCATTTTAATAGCTGTGTGCTTTGTTTTTGTTTTTTGCTTGTTTCTATCAGAAAGAATGCAATGAAGACTGCAACTTCAAAGAGCTCATTCTGGAAAACCATTATAACACGTATGCATCAGCTAAGTGGACACACAGCGGAGGGGAAATGTTCGTGGCCCTAAATCAAAAGGGGCTTCCTGTCAAAGGGAAGAAAACAAAGAAAGAACAAAAAACAGCCCATTTTCTTCCGATGGCAATAACCTAATCGTACACGGTGTTCGAGAAACCAGTTTCACTCAGCAGGGAGATTTCTTTCCAGTGGACTTTTTTCTTCTTTCTGTTTTCTTACTCTCTCTCTCTCTCTCTCTCTCTCTCTCTCTCTCTTTTAAAGTAACCAAGAAAGGCTGGAAAACTACTGAAAAACTGATCAAGCTGGACTTGCGCATTTTTGTTTATTTTAAAAGACTGCATTAAAGAAAGATTTGAAGAATATACACAAAAATCAGATTTAGTAACTAAAAGTTGTAAAAAGTTGTAAAAGTGGTTGTACAATCATAATGTTAGTGACGTGGTGTTTTTCTTAAATTAATTTACCCGTAAGAGTATGTTAGATTTGACTATCTGATAATGAATATTTAATATCACTATCTGCTTATAGAATGGCTGCTATAATAATAATAATAATAATGATAATGCAGATGATGTTAGATAAGGTATGTCAGACCTAAAGGCTGCTGGGATGTCCTGTCAGGTGATCAAGCCCACACAAATTGTCGACGATGAGCAGTGTTTGAAAGCTTTCCAGTAAGAAGTATAATCCACTTCAGCTCTATTCAGAAAAAAAAATGAATGTTCTCAACTTTTTTTTTTATCATAGAATGAAATCTATAGGTGGTTTTACAAAATTACAGGCTTGGAACATACCTGTGCTGATTAACATGAAAAAAAATTGTAACCCCACTCAAATTGAACAGGTATTGCTAACAGAATGTTTCAAAAATCTGTACATAAAATAGCAGTGATGATAATATGTACTTCATCTCACCACAAAATAACATTTTATAATCCCTAAAAATAAAATTCAGAAATCTTTACTTTTTTTTTTTTTCAAATAACATAATCTATCTTTTGTATAAGTCACATTTTGGGAACACAACTTTTAGTAATGTTCTTCCCACAAATATCATGCTTCCCCTCCCCCACTGTGGTTACAGCATTAAACTCTACTTTAAGTTGTATTTGAATTTTATTGTTTTGTTATTTAAGTTTATGTTATTTATAAAGAAAAAACCTTAAGAAGCTGTATCTGTTTCATATGCTTTTAATTTCAAGGGAACAACAAAACCGTCTGCCCGCACTGCAGATTTCTTCCCTCCTGGAGACTGACACCAGGTCTAGCACAGCGCTTGGCTAGCGAGTGCTGGATGGCAGACAAGAATGACAGCCTGCAGCCATGCTTACAATAGATGTCTCACAGCGAGTGATACAAGAATGTGGGAAAGGCTTTGCATAACACTCTTGCCAATGAATTTGGATCATACAAGTAAAAGAAATCAAAGGATTTTAGTGAGAATGTATTTTGATGCACAGCAATAAAACACATTTTAAAAGTAAATATAGTTAAAGTTAGCAATTTGGTAATCCATAGAGTTGTCTGCCATGCAAAAACATGCCAATATTGAAATGGCAATAGCATAACCCCAATAGAAGTTGTAGTCAGTGTATGGAGCCCCAAACACCTAAGGCTTCAGGCCGGGCCCCAGATAAAGGGCTTGACAGAGAGATGAATACTTACTCCATAGGTCTACCGCCAGCAGATGCTGACAGAGCTTCGTGTGTGCTCACCAAGAGAAGGGCAGCATTTAGTTAAATTGTTGGTATATGAATTAATGTAATAACAACTTCAAATGCTTCCATTAAAGTGTCTTTATATTACATAAAACACATATTTGGTAATATGTTTATAAGTGAAAGTTATATGGCAAAGCCCTTGTCAACAAAAATAACAGAATCATTTGGCTTTCTCGTGGTTTGCCCAGGTAAGCAGGTTACTTAAAGGTAGGAGTGTTGCCCTTTGTCACAAACACTTCGGGAGATGCCATGAGGGAATATTCTATATTAGCATCCAATTCAAGGATATTTGTAGTCAAGCTTTCTAGCCCTGGCTCCTGTAACTGGAGTCTTGTGAAAATATCAAGGATAGAAGAAGATTATAAGATTATGTTTTTCATAGTTGTTTCATAGGTGCCTAGCTGAGTTCTAGTCCACAATCAATCAATCAATCAATATATATATATATATATATATATATATATATATATATATATATATATGAATCCATTCAATTAATTATTTTTTTCAAGGAAAAGGTAAAATATAGTGACATTCTGGAATTTTGATTTCTTTAAAGAACTCAGAAATACTAGTTTTTGTCTTAAACCTAGTGCTAAAGGCTGCTTCAGCCTGTCCACAGCAGCTGACTATGATTTGCCTCATGCTCTAGCAGAGGTGCGGCTTTTCCAGTTGCACACAGTTTCTGCGACTGTGTAATGTTTGGAATTCTGGAAACTTTTCAGAGGGTATATAAATGCTAGGGCCCTGAGACGTGGGGTTGGTGGTTGGTGGTTGGTGGTCATTCATAGGGCTAAGTTGCACTTTGTTAATAGTCATGCTCAAAGAAGAAACAAGAAGAAAGAAATTAGAGTCAAGAATCTTTATCTTTTTCCCCGTGTGTGTGTGTGTGTGTGTGTGTGTGTGTGTGTGCCTGTGACACACACACACACACACACACACACACACACACACTCACTCACTCCATAATCCATCAGAATGAATATGGGCCCATATGAATATCAGATAATTATCATGTGTGGCCATTTCTAAGAAAACCTTAAAGTTGTTTTTTTTTTTTTTAACTATGAATAGCTTGTTACTCATTCACATATAACTCAGTGGTACTGTCACCTTACTCTTTGCTTATTCTACTACCACATTCAAGAATACTCACTATTCAGTAACAATCTGACTTATTCAGACTCCCATAGCCTCACATCTGCTCTCCAATTTTAAGGAATTTATCCAGATTTAACTTCTCTTGAATAGATATTAGACGGGAAGCAGTAAATAATAAAATCTTATATTTTCACAATACCGTGATTTCTTTATAAAGCGACATCTACCAAGGAGCCAGGTTATTTCTTTTTTTTAAAAAAATATATATTTATTTATGTATATGAGAGCTTTATCTGCATATGCACGTGCATGACAGACCAGAGCACCAGATCCCAGTATAGATGGTTGTGAGCCACCATGTGGTTGCTGGGAATTGAACTCAGGACCTCTGGAAGAGCAGCCAGTGCTCTTAACCGCCGAGCCATCTCTCCTGCCCCCCCCCCCAGGTTATTTCTTATGAGAAGCTTTCCCATTTGCATCCTGGCTGTGAGAGTCCTGTTTCACAGATCACCACCCTGTGCTTTCTGAAAGCCTTTGTCATTATATGAGCAATAATTATCCCTTTCTCTGTCTGGATGCAGCTGTGCATTTAGTTAGTGCTGTATAACATGAGAGTTTAATGACCTAAAACAACAGTTCTTTTGTCTTATAACTATCTGGGTGCTCTGACTGCAACCCTCCTAAAGTCGTGATCAAGGTATTAACCAGGGAAGCCATTGATCTCAATACTCAGCCCTGAGGGAAATCCAGCACCACCCTTCACTGGCTGCACCTGGCAAACATCAACTCCTCATCATGGGCTCTTCATAACACTGTCTCTCAAAAGAAGTTTATTTCCTACAAAACAGTGGATCAGAGAATAAAAGTCCCTGAATGGAAGCCATGGTTTTAAGAAGCCACCTCCAGTGTGATTTCACTGCTGTGCATACAGGGGACATATTATCCCTGAAGTACACATCAGAAGGGAAGGCCATTGTAAAGCGCCTATTGCAAGCCATGGGTGACACTGCCGTTCACAGCTTTACCACAAACCCATGTGTTCCAAGCCTCGTAACACCAACCCAAGGTATTCATAGAGAAACAAATGAAGTAGGCATATTTTCTGTGCAAAGTTGGTCCTTTCTTTCACAGGAAAATCAGAGTAGGCTTAGATCACGCCTGGCTTTGTTGGCCTGTGTTGTGCGTTCTTAGGTCTCACACGGCAGCAAACTGACAATGGCACCTGGGCTCCACGTAAGACATTATTATGTCTTCAGATTCAACCTAAAAATAATTCTCCTCTTAACTTCACTACCTTAAAGAATAAGATTATACAGAGGCTTTCTCTGGCATGAGCTCAGTGGCTCGCTCTTTGATCACCTCCCCCTCAGGGCGGGGCAGCCTTGCCAGGTCACAGAGGAAGACAATGCAGCCAGTCCTGATGAGACCTGATAGGCTAGGGTCAAATAGAAGGGGGGGAGGACCTCCCCTATCAGTGGACTAGGAGAGGGGCATAGGAGAAGAAGAGGGAGGGAAGGTGGGATTGGGAGGATATGAGGGAGGGGGACACACCCGGGATACAAATTGAATAAATTGTAATGATGATAATAAAAAAGAAAAAAAAAACATAAAAAGAATATGATCGTGGATGTCGACCTTGGGGTTGAATGACCCTTTCACAGGGGTTGCCGTTGCCAACACCATCAGAAAACACAGATAGTTACATTACCATTTTTAGCAGTAGCAAAATTATAGTTATGAAGTAGTAATGAAAATGATTTTATGGTGGGGGTCAGCACAACATGAGGAACTATGCTGAAGCGTTGCAGCATTAGGGAGGTTGAGAACCACTACTCTAAGCAAAACAAAACCTAAAAAGACCCAAAAGCTATTGGTTTCCATGCAGGATGCACATTAGATTCACCTCCAGGAGTTACTTTTCTTTTTGAAACAAGGAGGCACAAGCTCATTGGCGAAGTGTCTAGAAAGAACTTCCTCAGACATGTTATCCACAGATTACTCATCTGCTACTATGGAAAAGCAGGTAACCTGAGGCTTCCACGGAGCGTAACAACTTTCTGGCAACTAATCTCAAAGGACAGAAAATCAATGAAGTGCCTGATAAGATATTCAGTGGGGTACAGGAGAAGTCATTTTTATATTCCCCAGTAATCTCTAGTGTTCTTGCTGCAGTTGAGAACTAACGAGACAAGTGGAAGAAACAAACCCAAACTCCTTTCCAATCTAGCCCTGGCTCATTATCTCCTTTTAAAACACATTCATTTCCCACCGAGGTTTACCATAATTTTTCTGTTGACAGTTAGCACTAGACAGAGCACAAACATGAGAAAGAGCTGTAATCATTTTGACAATGAAATGATTACAGAATATAAGGTGCATAAAAGTTCATGCCAATTCAAAGTCCATTCTCAGAAAGAACATGCATTGGATATCATTAAATCCCTCTGTTCAAATTTGTGATCAAATCACAGAGAATACATTATAAATTGCATGGAGGCCAGCAAAGTGGCAGTTGAACAAAGGTAACTGGTTAAAAATTTTGCTGTGGGATAGGCAGGAAAAGACAAGAGGCAAAACACTAAAAATCCAGAATATGTTTGGATTGCTGAGTAGATACTACCAAGTTCATCAAAAATACCAAAAATGGGTTGGATCTTTTGTGACTCTTGAACCCAAATGACTGTTTCCAAGTTTAGGGAAGTTGAGGGATATTGATATACATATATTTTATACTTCCCTCTTTCTAAAAAATGGCAAGATTCAGCCATATTTTGTGTAATGGTGTCCTGCACATCTTGGGTTTTGTTTTTTTATTAATCTTTCCTTTTTTTCTTCCATTTTCTTTGTTTTTCATGTGATCGGAATATTCAAAGGAGCTATCTTTAAGTTTAGATTTTTTTTTCCTGCTTTAGACTGCTATCAAATTTCTTAGCTGTGTTTTCATTTGACTTATTAAGTTCTTCAGCTCCAAGGTTTCTATTTGGTTCTTTTCCATGCCAACTCTCTGGAGATTTTCTCATTCTAACCAGTGCTATTTTTCCTATTCCATTCTCTCTTTGTAGCTGCTCTTGTCTCACTGTCTTTCCTTCAAACCATTCCTTTGAATATCTTATCAGGCACTTCATTGATTTTCTGTCCTTTGAGATTAGTTGCCAGGAAGTTGTTACGCTCCGTGGAAGCCTCAGGTTCCCTGCTTTTCCACATGTCTGAGGAAGTCTTTCTAGGCACTTCGCCATGACTATTTAATAATTGTACCTTCCCCTGCGCACAGGTCATCTACACCTGGCTTTCAAAAGTACAGTCCAAAACAACAAGTGCAGCAGCCGCTGTAGGAGGGGACAGTCTGCCCTCTGACTGAATGCTGGTTCTCAGACATACATGCAGAAAAAAAAAATTCAAGTGACAACACATGCTGGAGAGGATGTGGAGCAAGGGGAACCCTCCTCCATTGCTGGTGGGAATGTAAACTTGTGCAACCATTTTGAAAATCAATCTGGCACTCTTTCAGAAAATTAGGAATAGTGCTACCTCAAGATCCTGCTATACCACTCCTAGGCATTTTTCCAAAACACGCTCAAGTATACAACAAGGACATTTGTTCAACCACGTTAGTAGCAGCTTTATTTGTAATAGCCAGAATCTAGAAACAACCCAGATGTCCCTCAACAGAGGAATGGATACAGAAATTGTGGCACATTTACACAGTGGAATATTACTCAGCAATTAAAAACAAGGAAATAATGAAATTTGCAGGCAAATGGTGAGAACTAGAAAATATCATCCTGAGGGAGGTATCTCAATAGGAGAAAAACACGCAGGGTATATACTCACTCATAAGTGAATATTAGACATATAGTATAGGATAAACATACTAAAGTCTGTACACCTAAAGAAGCTAAGCAAGATGGAGAATCCTGGGTAAGATGCTCAATCCTCACCCAGAAAGGCAAACAGGATGGACATTGGAATAGGGAGAAAACAGGAAATAGGGCAGGAGCCTACCACAGGAGGGCCTCTGTAAAACTCTAGCCAACAGGGTATCAAAGCAGATGCTGAGACTCATAGCCAAACTTTAGGCAGAATGCAGGGAATTTTATAAAAGAAGGGTGAAATAGAAAGACCTGGAGAGGACAGGAGCTCCACAAGGAGAGCAACAGTAGCAAAAAACTAAGCCCAATGGTCTTTTCTGAGACTGATACTCCAACAAAAACATGCATGGAGATAACCTAGAACCCTTGCACAGATGTAGCCCACGGCAGCTCAGTCTCCAAGTGGGTGCCCTAGTAATGGGAACAGGGACTGTATGTGACATGAACTCAGTGGCTGGCTCTTTGATCACCTCCCCCTGAGGGGGAGCAGCCTTCCCAGGCCACAGAAGAAGACAATGCAGCCAGTCCTGATGAGACCTGATAGACTAGGGTCAGATGGAAGGGGGCGGGGACCTCCACTATCAGTGGACTTGGGGAGGGGTATGGGAAGAGATAAGGGAGGGAGGGTGAGATTAGGAAGAAATGAGGGAGGGGGCTATATCTGGGATACAAAGTGAATAAACTGTAATTAATAAAAAAAATAAAATTTATTTTTATATAATGTGTTTGATAAGGTCCACAATCCTATTCTCTCCTCCCTCTAGAACCCGAAATATTCCCCTTCTAACTTCACATGCTGTCTGTCCTCTTTTTAGATGCCCATGGAGTCCATGTAGGGCTGCCTATGAGTGCATGGGTCTAGGATGATCTGTTGAGCATGAGCAGTCTCTCTGTAGCCTAGAGAAAATGGGTAATGCCTTCCCCAGAGGCCATCCCTGCCAATACCGCCTCATATAGCCCCTCAGTGTTCATGCTGGGATTCTGCATGGCTCAATCTCCTGCAAGTCCTGGGCATGCAGCCACTGTCAGGTCATGAATGCAACACCATTTCATGCCAGGCATCTACTCTCTCTGGCTCTTAGAATCTTTCCTCCTCATCTTCCATGATTCCTGACCCTCAAAGGGAGAGGTATGACACAGATGTCTCATTTAGAGTTGAACTTGCAATGCTCTCTTTCTCTCTGTATGCTAACTGGTTGTGGGTCCTTGTATCATTCCTTATCTATTGCAAAAAAGAATATGTAAGGTGATGAACACAGTTAGTCCTGGCCTATCTTCTCTCAGTTAGATATTGGTTAAGAATCAGAATGTGAATGCTATGAAATTTCATTTTATACCTGAAATCTGTGAATTGGAACAAGCACTAAAATGTTTTGATAAATAAACACATATGGGAATGCACACAGTCTGTCTTGACAGACTTCTTAATCTCCAGTGGCAGAACTTACCTGGAAAAGCAAGAGTTCTGGACATCACCTCCTTATTTAGAGGGAGTTTGCTTTCACAGCAATTACCTGGTAGAATGGCAAATTTCTTCCCAGGGCTAAAGCATGGTACACACACACATACACACACACACATACCCTAACCTTTTGTGTTTTGACTTCTAGCTCTTAGGATCCTTTCTGGTTTATGTAAGGTATTCTAAAAAACTCATTAAAGTGTATCAACAGCAAAACAAGCAAACTCCTATAATTACTAACAGATAGGAATCATGTGTCATTATATTTATACAGAGTATAAAGAGTAGGAAGCCATGTCTCCTTGTGATCAATCACTTCCAAATGTACAGATCTAAAGAGCTGTAATGAACCAGTTAAATAATTGTTAAATAATTAAATTGTTAAATAATAAAACCAGTTAAATAATTAGCCAAGGAGCTTCTCAAGATCAGGCTGATAGGTCAGCCCATCATTCCTGGCATAACTGAAGGAAAACACTGGAAGGTAGCTCTCTCCACAGATGCTCTGAAACCAAAGAGCCTTTGTTATGATCCAGCTGGTCAGAAATAAAACCTGTATATCAAGACTGCGCTTGTTACTGCAGTCTTAGTATAAATAGAAGCAAAATTAATTTGCCTTAAAGAGTTCATTAATTGAGAGTAGTTAAGGAGATTTGATTTTTGTAAGGCAGTTTTGGACACAGAATTCAAGAAACAGAAAAAAAAATAAAGATATATCAAAGTAAATGGATATTTAAATTTTTCTTTAAGTGGACTATTTAATAAATGAATCATTTTGAAAAGAAAAAGTGAGAAAATAATCATATTCCTTATCGCAAAATAAATTTCGTATGGATTTAGTAAGTGGGTCAAAATAAAGAAGCAGGGAAGCACTAGAAAAAAGCCAGGTAAGTATTTTGATAACCTTATTATAAGTCTTGAGAAAACACAACAAGACTTAAGCTTTAAAAGAAATATGGCATAAATGTACCAAATAAAAATGGTTAACTTCTCTGTTGCAAGACGCATTACCACCGAGCAAGCCACTCAGCCTAAAGCAAGAATGTCTATAGTTCCAAAAACTGACATAAAAGTGTCACACTAGGTGAGCAGGAAAAGGGCTCAACATACACCACTATGCCAGCAATTTACAAATCAAATGATGTCCTAGGTACATCCCCAAGCCGATTTGTTAGAAAAACGGACTAATAACTGGCCTAATTGACTGCACTGTGGCTACCTTCTCACGCCCGATTCGTTGCATTTGCTTACTGGATACTATGTGCTCCTGGCTGGTGGAGATCCTGCTTTTCACCGATTTTGACAGTGCTCGCCTGCTGCCGTGTATGGTGGTTGTGCAGAGATCTTTTAGTCTCCATTGGTTCCAAAAGCCACTCCGGGGTTTTAGACCTGTTAATGTAGAGTGTATATTAGCCGATCAGATTTTTATTAACAAACTAGGACTGTCTACATATCTCTAGATACAGCTACCAGTTTTTTTTTTAAAATTATTAGTTACCATTGTGTAAAATATATAGATGCTTTGCATTTCACTTGTTGAGTGTTCTTGATAGATTGCCTATATTTTAAACCATTAGACATTGATAGAAAGTTTGTTGTATGGTAAGGCCAGTAGGCAGCTGATTAAGGCAGGGTTTATTTTTCATTGCCCTCAAGAAAAGCATGCTCCAGGGGCCCACAGCAGGGCGACTCAGGTTGGCCAGGAGAGAGCAACACCAAAGGTACAGCAAGCAAGCTACTTTTTTTTTTTAAGGAGGAAATTATTCAGTTATTCCAGCAGGTTCCAGGCTCAAGGTTTACCCCAGTTGCTTGATTCCTAGGATGTCAAACATCTGGGTTAAGAATTTAGTAAAGGAGAAGGTACTTAAGGGCAGGGCTATAGATTGGTCAGTGTGTATTTAATAATTATACCTATAATTATTTACTATATCTAGAAACAGTCTGGCCCAGTGAAGGGTATGTCCTTAGGTGTTAAAATATAAAATATAAAGGATACAATTCATGATTAATACAGTCTGGTGGTAGAATGCCCTTTTGTTTCTGGGATTAAACTCTATTTGGTGTATGTGTAATGTAGAAAGGAATAATGTGTTGGTTCTCCATAGATATCAGACGTGCTCTGATGTGAACATCTTCCTTTAAAGTTTTATTTTTACAATTTATTAATTTTATATCCTGACTGTAGCCACCTCTCTCATCTCCTCTCAGTTCCATTCTCTCTCTCTCTTCCCTCCCTATTTCCTTCCCATAGTCCACTGAAAAAGGGAGACTTCCTCCTCTGTCATCTGACCCTAGCTTGTCAAGTCTCACCAGCCTGGATCCTCTTCCTCTGTGGCCTGGCAAGGCCAAACTCCCAGGGGGGTGATTAAAGAGCAGGCAACCCAGTGCATGTCAAAGATAGCACCTGCTCTCCTTACTCGGGATCTCACATGGAGACTGAACTGCCTTTTGGCTACATCTGAGCAGGGGATCTACGTCCTCTTCATGCATGGTCCTTCTTTGGTGCACCAGTCTTTGCAGGACCCCCTGGGCCCAGATTTTGGCTCTGTTGGTCTCCTTGTGGAGCTCCTGTCCCTTCTGGGTCCTTCTATCCCCACCTTCTTCCGTAAGACCCCCTGCACTCTGCCTGAAGTTTGGCCGTGAGTTTCCATATCTGCTTGATCCCCGGTGGGGTGGAGCTTTTCAGAGAACCCCTATGGTAGGCCCCCATCCCGTTTCCTCTCTTCCAAACAGGTGTCTATCCTGTTTGCCATTCTGAATGAGATTTAAGCACCCTCCCAAGTGTCTTCCTTGTTGTTTAGCTTCTTCAGGTCTGTATATTTTAGTACGTTTATCCTATAGTATATGACTAATACCTGCTTATAAGTGAGTATATACCGTCCATTTCTCTCTGGTTTGGAGATACCTCACTCAGGATGATCTCTTCTAGTTCCATCCATTTATTGGTTATGTTTTTATGCTGGCCTCTACCCATATGGCCGTCTCAGGTGCTGGCTGTTAAGTTTCTGGTGCCTGCTGGAATCCTGGGGTGGGGAGAATCCCCTTGGCAGGGGATGGTTGTTCCTGAAGGAGGCCTTCTCAGCTTTTTGGATATGGTCACCAAATGGCCAGTGCTTCTCAGGTGTATGGACTGGTGGGGTAACTGAGGTTGTTGGAGGCTGTGGGACCGGACCTTTTCCATGGATTGTCTAGGTGACCTGAGGTCAATCCCAATTGCTTCCTTCACTATGGGGTTTTCTCTCGAGTGGAAAACTCAGTCCCTGGTGCTGTGGGGCCAACAGTTCAGTCTGGGATGGTGATCAGATGGACCCACATTTCTGTCTGTTGGTCGCTGTGCAGTCCCTGCTGTCCTGCTCACCAGACACAGTGTCGTCTCGGCGCCATCATCTTGGATCCCCCTCCCCATTTTCATAATTCCTCGTCCTAATGTTTTCCAAACAGGAATGTCAAATCTTCAAATATAAGACTTTTAAAATATACTTATTTGTAGTTTTTGTTGTTGTTGTTGTTATTCTCTTATTAGATACAACATAGAGAGGTAAAATCTAAAAAAAGAAGTGGCGAGGGATCAGTTTCTGCCACATGGATTTTTTTTGCAGCTCTCTTGTTCCTCCTTCTTCTCTTTTTCCTCCTTCCTTCTTCTTCCTTACTCTTTTTCTCCTCATTCTTTCTTCTTCTCACTTCTTTCTTCCTTCTTTCCTCCTCCTTTCTTCTTCTTCATTCTCTTTTTTCATTCTTCTCCTTCCTCCCTCTTCTTCCTTCTTTTCTCCTTCTCTTCATTTTTTTTAGAATACACAAAGGCCAGAAATTACCCAAGGAGAACTACTATATGTGCTCTACTATATATTTTTATTTATTTTTGACCATTTAGTTTAGCCTTTAACTTTGGTCAGTTATTTTCTAAGTTCCTTTATGATTTCTTTCTTGAACAGTGGATTATTTAAGAAGATATTTCTTTCATTTTTTAATTTGGAAGTATTTAGGGGTACACCATCATAACTCAATACATGTATACAATATATAATGAATCAGGGTAAAACATTTTCATCTCTTCAACCATTAATAATTTTACAGGTTGAGAATTTCATATTTTTCTAGTCATTTTGAAATAGACCCTATGTTGTTTTAACCAATAGTTTCCCTACTGTGCCGAGGAAGCTTTAGATATGACTTCTCCATTCTGGTTTTGGTGCTCCTGATTCAGTCCCTTTCTGCCCTTACCAGACTTCTGTGACCACCATTTTATTGTGTTGTCCTAAAGAGATAATTTTCTGGTTTCTGCAAATGAGTGGGAAATAGGGTACTGGTTGTTCTGTGCCTGACTTGTTTCAATAACCTATTGACTTCAAGTTCCATCTGTGTTGTTGCAAACTGCAAGATTTCTTTAAAAAAAAATAGTCGAGAAGCAAATTTTTTTAAACTATATAAATACATGACATTTATCCAGTGGAGTTCATAATGATGATCTGCTTAAGCTATTTTGAAGTTGGGTACATGCTTATTATTTTCCCATGTATAAAGGTATTTTTATTTGGCCATATGTTTAATTTATTGCCTTCCATCCTATGACTCAACATGTTCTACTTAATTTATAACCCTTGTGAGTGGGAACATTCGATTTTTGGCTTCCTATAAATTGCTTTCTCTATTTGAAAATAATTTGTATTTTTCATTTTCAGCATTCTGTATAGTAATTTCTTCAGACTGTTAATCATATAACAGTACCTTTCCTCAGTCTGGGTTTTGGTCTGTTTCTTTTCTCAATCACTAGGCGAACTAGTGATTATTAGCCATAGTAATAAATGGAGATTATTTCCTTGGGTTCATGTAAATTATTTGACCATGTATTTTATTCAAGTATTTCATCTATTTTATTTAGTAATTTTGATTTTGAACTGGGTCCCAACATGTAGCCCTGGCTACCCTTAAACTTGATATCTTTCTGTATTTGACACTCCAGTGCTAAGATTGCAGGCATGCACTGCACCTAGCTTGCCAGTTTTTCAATAGGAGGTAATTGGTGTTTTTGTTTTGTTTTGTTTTGTTTTGTTTTTGTTGTTGTTGTTAGTACCCCCCCACCCCCGAATTTTGTTAATATTTCTTCAAGGCTATTACTTGCTTTTTCATTGTATTAAAAGTATTTTCTGAGTGGACAAACTTTATTTATGATGAGATCTAGTTTACCAAGATTTTCTTTTACCAAGATTTTTTGTTTCACATCTAAGAAATTATGTCCCAGTCTAAGATACAAAATTTTCTGTCTATGCTTTTGTTGCTAAAATCCTTTCCTGGGTCATACATACACTATGTTTAAGGGCCTTTGAAAGAGCTAATAAACAAACTAAGTTAGGATTCTACCAAAATTCACTCAGGGGGCCAAATAGATATTAGGTTTATTTAGAGAGCAATGGGTGAGGAGTTATGGGCAGGAGTGTAGGTGACCTTGGAGAAATGCCGCTGGAAATTCTGTACCCAGCAACATTGATGGTTTCTCCATGCCTACATAGATGGGACCTTCCCCTCCCCTCATCATTTCCTACCTATATCTTCTAGCTCCTCCCCACATCCCCAGGGCCACATGCAATTAGGACAGAACTGCATATAACTGGTTGGGAAGGGTGTCTGGGTACTCGGCTAACTGTCCCATGACACTAGCCATTCTCTTCATTTAGGAGGGAAGGTAAACAGCTATGATGAGATATTGTGAGCAGGCACAGTAGACTCCTGAACATGGTGACAATTTAGGTCCATTTGATCTAAAGTATAATACAAGCCTGACATTCCCTTGTCTGGATATAATACTCAGTGTTGAAAGTGAGGTGTTAACACCATCTACTATCTGTCTTTTCACACTAGTTAATATTTGCTTTATGTTTTTGGATGTTTTGAGTTTGGTTATCATGTTCTGTTGACACACCAACTTCTTTGAATTAAATAACAACATCATTTATCTTATGCTCCAACTGATGTAAGTGAAGCCAACCCTGCCCCCTTTTACTTGCCACCACACAGAATACCTTCAAGTCCTCTGCCTGCAGCAGTCTGGCCATAAAGCTAGAGTTGGTATCTCATAGGTAGCATAAGCTAGAGCTTTATTCTTTTTTTTTCTTCCTTTCTTTTTAAGTACACTTTTAAAGTACATTTTGATTGGAGAATGCAATCAACTTACATTCAAAGTAACTGTCTATAGGAAAGACCTTACTACCACCATTTTTTTTTTTTTAGATCATTGGTTCTATTCTTATGAAGTTAGAAGAGAAGTGGAGTGTTGTAGTTTGCACTGGGACACTAGGAAATGTGACTTGATAGGCAGGCAATACTCTATCCATTTAAAGTTATAATTTCTAAAAGTTATAACTTCTAAAAGTGAAAGTCACTTGGGAAAGCCT